TTTTTATTGATTTAGAAAAAGCTTACGATAAGGTTCCAAGAGATATCCTTTGGAGAGTTCTCGAGAAGAAATGTGTTGATTTGACTTATATTCAAGTCATTAAAGATATGTATACTAGAGCTGTTACTTGTGTTCAAACTGAAGGAGGATTGACAAAATATTTTCCTATTTCTGTTGGTTTACATCAGGGATCGACTTTAAGCCCATATCTTTTTGCTTTAGTTATGGATGGTCTTACTGGACATCTACAAGAGGATGTACCTTGGTGTATGTTTTTTGCTGATGATATTCTTCTCGTGGATAAAATGAGAGAAAAAGCCCAGGATAAACTTGAATTATGGAGGTCTACATTGGAGTCTAAAGGCCTTCGTTTAAGTAGAACTAAAACTGAATACATGGAATGTAATTTTAGTAGTAATAGCTCTAGTGACAGAAGTGTGACTTTGGGTGATCAAATTATTAAAAGGTGTGAACGATTTAGATATCTTGGGTCCGTTGTCCAAAGCGATGGTGATATAGATGGGGTGTTAATAGTAGAATTCAAGTTGGTTGGTTGAAGTGGAGGAATGCTTCGGGCCTTTTGTGTGATAGAAAAGTACCGCTAAGACTGAAAGGAAAATTTTATAAGACGGTGGTGAGACCTGCAATGCTCTATGGCGCTGAATGTTGGCCTTTAAAAGAGAAGCATAATAATAAGTTAAGTGTTGCCGAGATGAGAATGATTAGGTGGATGAGTGGCTTTACACTTAGAGACAAAATGCGGAATGAATATATTCGTGATAGGGTTGGTGTAGCTCCTGTGACAGACAAAATTAGAGAAAGTCGTCTTAGATGGTTTGGTCATATTAAACGTCGACCATTAGATGATCCGATTAGGAGAGTAGATGTTTTAGATTCGACTTGTGTTAAGAAAGGCAGAGGTAGACCTAAGAAGACTTGGGCTTATTGTATTAAAAATGATCTTAATTTATTAGAACTAAATGAAAATATGACACTAAATAGGACGCAATGGAGAAAAAGGATTCATGTGGCCGACCCCACGTAGTGGGATTAAGGCTTTGTTGTTGTTGTTGTTGTTGTTGTGGCTTCATGTAACCTCATTCTCTTTTCATTTTGGTTCAGTGTTGTCTGATGAATTAAAATAATCGTTCACAGATCATTTTTGATACTTTGCATCCATTAATACTGGCGTTCTATTTCCTTTTTAATCTTATAACATTATTTGTATCATCTCTTCTAATACCGAATGTTCTACCCTTCGTAGCACAAGCGCATACCAACCAATACCTAATTTTAATTACCTTAGATGTCACAGAAATCTACATTTTCATTCCCTAATGTGTCATTTCTTAGTTTGTCACATCCATTTTAACATTTCCATTTATGTCACTCCACTTTGATATCAATATTTTTCTTACAACCCAAAATTTAAACCATAAAATATTGTCAATCTAATTACAATTTTATAAAACTTACCATTAAACTTTCATAATATCATCTTATTACAGAAAATTCACGGGACGCCTCTTCATTTTGAAAACCTAATCTTAACTCTAGAAGTTATATTTTCATCGATATCTTCATTCTGCTATATAATAGACTCGAAATACTTAAACCTACCGTACCTACATAACAATTCATACCCATAGGGGTGCAACTAAGAAGGACCCGATTAAGTCTATCCTAGTGTCATAAAACTCGGTGCTATAGTGTCTTATATAGGCGTTCACATGATTATTGTGCTCGTCTGATACCCAATTTAATAAATTCTGAACAAAATTGGATAGTGCTTAGACTTCTTTAATGCTTCAAGATGCATCCCGTGATAAAAATTGTGCAAATCAAACATGAATTTTATGATCCCAACAAATAAACAGTGAATTATCCTTAATATAACAAAATAGCTTTCCACACAATATGAATATTCAAAAAGGAGAACACTGGCTTTAAAAAAACACAAATTGCTCGACGTTCAGACACTTATATAGACTAAAGTTAACATAAATGTTGTATGCATAGAAATGTCAATGCAGCATGATTACACCAAAATAAAACATATCTACAATTAATTTACCAACATTACAAAAAAGAAAACATAAATCTGACCCTCTAATAGAGCTTTAATGGAAAAATACAGAAATGAGTTTCCAAGTGGTTACAGCTACAGAGCATATAAGAATTTCATTCATTACTTCACATCTCAATAGATAAAGAGTTCAAGTCGTTAAGTGCTTTAGAGAAGCTAAGAACGACAAACATACCAACAATTTTAATCATCAGAGGTTGCTCTAGAACGATACTTCCGCGCACTCCTTGGAAGTTCTACTCTTTCGCCTGAAATGGGTGTCTCTAAATCGTCTTCATCCATCTTACAAATACCAGATTCATAAGATTCACCTGCTGCAATTCCAACAGATCGGGTCACCCATAAATCACTTTCAAGAAATTCTTCTCTAATGTGGCTTTCTTGAACATCTCCCAATTCATTATCAACTGGCATGTCATCAATTGATTTCCTACGAGGGTTGAATGTAATGGACTTCGGAAGCTCCATGATGACCTGTTGATAGGGTTGTTCGGGATTCAATTTCTTGTATGAATTGTGAAAATCTTCAAATGCACTTATATTTGCCAAATCGTCATCATCATAAGAGTCAAAGGTGTAATGGGTATACTTAGAAGGATTCCTCATATAATCAGGAAGCCCTGGAGATTCTTCTAAAATTACAGGGGTTGGATCAGCAACTGTAGGGGCCTCCATGACATGCGAGAACATGGCAGAATCCTGAGCTTCCCTCAGTATCTCATTATTATCAGGCTTGCAACCGGGGTCAAATCTAACTCGTTTCTTTGGCTTTAAATCTTCTTGCGCCGTTTTTCTCTTCAGAATAGGCTTCAACTTGATGTCCTCCACAGTGAAATCTACCAAACCAGAGGTTGAAGGGTGCTCATCTTTGCTATGATCTGGAACAGAAAAAATTTCAGCTGCTTTCTTATCCTCTTCAAGCCGAATACCTGCAGCACAATGATCAGCACGGGGATCCTTGTAGAAACGGCGGGATCCAGTATATGACTCCTCTTCCACATCTGCAAATATACTGTGATAATTTAAGTGAGGCCCGTGATTTTTTACGTCCCTCATGTATAATCGTTCACCAGTATCATCTTCGCCCAGAGCAGCTCTATCAAATTCATCCTCTTCATCCTGCAAAGCATTCAAGGGGTTATATTAGTACCTAATTGCACCATGCTACCTCAAAGAAGAGGCTAATGTTCATTACATTCAAAGAAATATTTATCTAAGTTTAGAGTAGCAAATCGTACATGTATCACATAAAATTAGTTGGTTAGAATGATGGATAAGAAAAGCCACATGTTTATGGATTCATATAGTTTTGTATCATGATAGTTTATCCTTAAACTAGCTGATTTACTCCATACAACCTTAATGTGAAAGTTAGGATAGAAAATTGAAAAGCAAAAATATCCTACCACATCTGTTTCTTAATGCAGGTTGCACATTTTCCATGGCTATTTTACAGTATGGAAAAAATTTGTCGAACTAAATATAAGAGTAACCATGTATTGCTTCAAATGCAATAAAGCTGCCTCTCTCTCTCTCTCTCTCTCTCTCTCTCTCTCTATATATATATATATATATATATATATGTAGGACTGAATATAAAACCATGTTTTCATATCTGCATCAAATGAAATAAGGGAAGCCAACCTTTAGAAATATATTTTATTTGTTCCTTGATCATGACTATAGAAGTTTTATACCACGCATGCACAAGTTCTTTCTGATGATCTTCCACATGTTGATCAAATTAAATCTCAATTTTTTTCCTCATATGCATCATGTAGGCGTTCAAAATCTTAGAATATGTAGACAAGAGCACAGTAAAGTGCATGATTCATATTCAAAAGCACAACAAAATGAGACATCCGCATGTATAACACAACCAAGTGCAAATAAATTCATCCAGAGAACCGAGTCAAAAAACCATCTACCTCATATGAACTTCTCAGGATAAGTCTTAGTTCATTATTATATTATTGCTGAGGAAAAGTTGAAGTCCATACACTGCAGTTTCATCATAATCAGGAAATGTCGAAGGTTTTCTCTAATTCATCCAGACTTTATGGATCAATACTATATTAAAAGAACAAATTTGTCATTCTTCCATAGTTCTAATTAAAATTATAATAGATGTGGTTGTACTCCACCGTTTGCATGGCAATCACCAAGCCCTTAGAAGAAAAGATAATATCCAACTAATTTGTGAATTTACTTTGGAATTGTTTTTGAAATTTTAAGTTGCATGGAGGTGATGTGTCATATGTTTCTCCAAGTAGCGCTTAAAACAGGAAGTTCAATAACCTTGTAATGCAATGTCTCCATGCAAATGGAAACTTCTTTAGTTCTCTTCAAATAATCAATAAAAAGCCTATTTTAGATTTCTGTCGAATCTCTCTGGGATTTTCTCCTTTTTTTTCATAGAATAGCATGTTTTTTTTATAAGTCCCATTTCCTGCTAATGGCATTAAATCTCATTAGTTTTTGTACGCAGCAATGGAACGCCCAACTGCTCCTCTCAACATTAAGCTCTTAATAGTTTTCCTCATAACGTCCGATGAGATCCTTCTAGTTCTCAGTGCTCAAAATCCAAATGCATAGAAGTCACAAATAGATTCTTTTGCTAAGTTTTAAGCTCCTTGTGGCCATTTCAAGACCTTTCGAAGTCTTCCTATAGCAGCTTCTCACAAAGTTTTTCCTATATGTACTCTCAGTGAAGGCTTCTATGTAGCAAGTACATATTTATCGACAATGTTTCCTATGTTTCAACAACAATTCTATTTTCTCAAATGCATATTAAATCCTTTGAACCCTCATTTGACGCCAATAGAATATCTAAAAATTTCCATCCTTATGCTCCTCTCGATTTGAAGATATTCAAAGTGCTTCAAAGACGAATTTAATCACTATTATCCACGGATAGCTTGACATCAGATAATATTCTTTTAATACATTATATAGCTAATTAAATTACAAGTTTCATCATTGTGTAGAGGAGTAAACAAGCCGAACACGAGCCTAGGCTCAACTCGTGTTCGGCTCATCGTGTTCGGCTCATTGTGTAAACGAGCCGAACACGATTAAGCTCAAAAAGTGTGTTCGTGTTCGGCTTGTTTGCTTAACGAGTCGAACACGAGCTGTTCACGAATAAAGAGCCATTTTGACCACATAGTCATAAGATGTTAAGGCTTGGCGACTTTTTTTTTTAATCTAAACTCCATAAAATTCATTAAATATTTAATTATAATATTCTGTAAATTGTGGGATAACTAAGCAAAATAGTGATATGCTGTTACTTGCCATGTCCTTAATCAACATACCTTCGCATAAAACTGCAATGCAAAAGGCAAGTCTATGAGAGAGAGAGAGAGAGAGAGAGAGAATTGATGAGGAGAAGTTCGAGTCACAACGAGCCGAACACGAACGAACAAATCTTTATTCGTGTTCGGCTCGTTAACTTAGCGCACGAGCCGAACACGAGCTTCTTAACAAACCGAACACGAGTTGTTCACGAACAAAGAGCTGTTTTGACAGCCCTATCATTGTGTCATCAACTCAAAATGCAACTCAACCTACTATCTTAGCAATATTCAAGTTGTGAGGCCATCTTGAGATTATTTGATTGGATCTCTAACATCCTCCAACAACACGATATACATACTACATCAAATTTCAAATAAAATGATTGAATTATTATGCCCTAAAGGTCAAATATAAATTATATAATCATGAACTATGTTGAGTTTTGATTCTCTTCCAAGAGGTATGTATGAACGTAATAGTGGTGCAAATGGATGCTCAACTCCACAAGCCTTGAAAGGCAATAGGCTATTTCGTTTCATAATCATTACAGTATTACCACTTTTACATTCCTAAAGGTTCATTACTCAATTTATACTTTATGAACTCTTAAGAGAAATATTTTTCTATGTAAACAAGAGAAAAAAAGGAGGTGACAAAATTCTAACCAAAATTGGGTCTCGATGGAATTAAAAATTCTTCGATTGATTTTGACATGAGTGTAATATCAAATTTGATTAATTTTTAATGCATTGCACTCATCTTAAAGAATATAAAAGAATTTAAAAACACATCCTAATACAAATTTTCTCCAAGAAAATTTTGCAATGATCCCTCTACATGGGAATAGAAAATAAGATTCATCTGTTCACACCCAGGCCTCAAGATAAAGGAAAGCCATGGGCTGGTTCTTACAAAGCAACTAACCAATGATACAATATGACTCCCAAATTTCTAAGAGTGTGACGAAAATAAAAATCATGCCACATACTTATATCATAATACTAAGTTAAGTATTGCCGATATGAGAATGATTAGGTGGATGAGTGGCTTTACACTTAGAGACAATGTGAAATGAATATATCTGTGATAGGGTTGGTGTAGCTCCAGTACAACAACAACAACAACAAAGCCTTAATCCCACTACGCGGGGTCGGCTACATGAATCCTTTTTCTCCATTGCGTCCTATTTAGTGTCATATTTTCATTTAGTTCTAGTAAATTAAGATCATTTTTAATACAATAAGCCCAAGTCTTCCTAAGTCTACCTCTGCTTTTCTTAACACAAGTCGAATCTAAAACATCTACTCTCCTAATCGGATCATCAGATGGTCGACGTTTAATGTGACAAAACCATCTAAGATGACTTTCTCTAATTTTGTCCGTCACAAGAGTTACACCAACCCTATCACGAATATTCATTTCGCATTTTGTCTTTAAGTGTAAAGCCACCCATCCACCTAATCATTCTCATCTCAGCAACACTTAACTTATTATTATGCTTCTCTTTTAAAGGTCAACATGCAGCGCCATATAGCATTGCAGGTCTCACCACCGTCTTGTAAAATTTTCCTTTTAGTCTAAGCGGTACTTTTCTATCACACAAAAGGCCCGAAGCATTCCTCCACTTCAACCAACCAACTTGAATTCTACTACTAACATCCCCATCTATATCACCATCGCTTTGAACAACGGACCCAAGATATCTAAATCGTTAACACCTTTTAATAATTTGATCACCCAAAGTCACACTTCTGTCACTAAAGCTATTACTACTAAAATTACATTCCAT